AAAATTTTTAAAACCTTAATGTTAATAAATTTAGGGGGTACAAGTTGAATTCTGCTACACATATATAGTGTGTAGCAGTGAAGTCTGGGCTTTAAGTGTGCCCATCACCCAAATCGTTTATACTCCATCCCACAGGTGATTTTTCATCCTGATCCCCTCGCTTTGGTTTGTAATGCTTGGAAAAACATCACTCCCCAGAGAGACAAATTTCTTTCCTGAACTTGTGTTCATGCACATTATGCGCCAGCGGTTTCCCCTGGTCCTGCAACTTTACTCACCAAAGCAGGTGTGTCTTTCGCCAGGAAGGCAGCAAGCTGGGTGCCCTCAGGTAAAATGAGTGCTGAGAGCTCCAGCAGTCCCCTCGTTTTTAGGGCTCCACACTTGGCTGATCTATTTGAAAGTTTTCTTTACAATACAGTTTCAAGGATTGTGGCAATGAGAGAGGACTTCACATTCCGTGATGAACGTTCTAAGCTTTGCTCTCAAATAACAGTCTTTCGTACAAAACCGTGTGGGTGTTCTTTTTTCTAAGGCTCAGGGGAGGTGATTTAGTGAGCCTTCAAGTAGAAGATGTTCCAGGGGTTTCAGCACTTGCAGTGACACGCGGCATCAAAGGTAGAATAAGAGACTCTCACTTTTTCTGCCTGTCAAAAAGGAACTCAGAGAAGGTGCTGTGTATAGGCCACCTCTCCTGAAAGCACATGAGTTTAGTTCTTGTTCTGATCATCTGAGCAGACACCTTCCGAGTTGTTTTCTCTCTCTTTTTTTTCATGGTCTCTCCCTAATTAGTTCACTGCCCCTTGCATGAGCTTCTGGTTTCCTGCAGATCTTCATGATGGGAAGGCATTAGGACTGGGAGAAGCCCCAGAAACCCAGAAGCAGAAGCCTGGACCTGGCTGACTCTGGGTGGGGGGGCACGGCCTGCCCTCATCCACCTGCACCTGAATGGTGCCTGCAGTCAGAGCATGGGCAACTCTCGGTGCCCAGCCAGACCCCGACCTCGTCCTGGAGCAGAAACTGTGCCAACATGTCCAGGGGCAGAGCCAGTGCGAAGCTCTTCCTGGGCAGCATCTGGCTGCGTCTCGGGGTTGGGGGGCGTCTGGCAGCCTCGGATGAATTTAGACTCTCAGTCACCTGGAGGTCAGCGCTCACCACTGAAGCTGACCTGCGTGCTGTGATGGCGAACTGGGCTGCCTTTGCGCGTGGTCCGGAGCCAAAGCCTGAGGCTGTAGTTTGCATTCTGTTTTTTTTTTCCTTCAGACCCGAATGTGCTAATCAAATATTACCTCCTTTGTGTTTTGCAGCTTTTCTCGATGGTCTACTGCAGAGGCTCTAAATAAAAGATGCTTTGCAGTATCAATCAGAGCTATGTCAGAAAAAGGTTATTATGGGAATTAAACCATGAGATGATGTTATCACGAGTCTGTCTCACCGTAAGCGAATTGGACCTGTTAAACCCCAAACCTGAACTTTGAACGTTGATAAATTGCAAGGGGCTTTTTGTTTGCTTTGCAAAATTATTGTGTGTTTTTTTTTTATTTTTTTTTTATTTTACTTTTATTTCAGCATATTATGGGGGTACAGATGTTTAGGTTACGTATTTTGCCCTTGGTTTTTTTTTTTTTAAGCGGTGGATATTATCCTTTTATGGAACACGAAAGCTATAAATCTTCTCCTA